TAGGGTGATTGAGATTATCAGCCAAAGGATTAAGGAAGCGTCTATGCCCGTTCTGGAGAAAGTTTACTGCCCCTATTCCAGGTGCTCGGCATTAATGTCCAAAAGCGAGCTTTTAAAATATAGCGAGGCTTCATATTTCGATGCAGAACGAACTGGGGCAAGGAAGTGCATGAAATGCAATCTGTTTTTCTGTATTAATTGCAAGGCCCCTTGGCATTATAATATGACTTGCTACGACTTCAGAAAGTTAAATCCCGTTCTCCGTCCTGATGAGGAAATGCTGAAGTCTCTTGCTTCGAAGAAACTTTGGCGCCAATGTGTGACGTGTAACACGATGGTCGAATTGGCCGAGGGCTGCTACCACATCACCTGCAGGTACATTATTTACCTTTATCCATCTCGCTTGCTCCTTTTCTCCCTTGATGAATATGACAGTTCAAAATTCAATATTTCCTTAGCACCCAATGAGCATTAATGCAATTCACTAATGTCTACTTGCTTGGAAGATGGAGTGAGGGTAACAGCATCTGAAAATTGATACATTTTCTTAGAGTAATTATAAAACGAATTCTGAAAAACACCCCTTCGAGTTGGTACTTCGACGAGTATTGTACTTTACTGGATAATTGGTATTGATTTGTCTTGTCAAATAAATGCTAGTAATTGACATTGATTTGTTGAGGTCAGCTCAGTTTTAGAGAGAATTTTATCCGAGTTCCATGAAAGCAAAGACGAGACGATCGACTCGTGATGTTGCTACAAGTTTCTTTGTTAAAGTTTTGCTATACATTGGAGTTTTCTTTCCCTACTTTGTAAATATAAATGGATTCTGTGTGCAGATGCGGATATGAGTTTTGCTATACATGTGGAGCCCCCTGGAAAGGTAAGAAGCCTACATGCACCTGTCCAATATGGGACGAGCGGAACATCATACGCAATCAACGTCAACGTCGACGATAAGCTCTTTAGCTGAACGATTCGGGGGTAACGGGCCCCTTTCTTTTGCTCTTCAGTTTCTGTTTGTTTGCACTGTTTTAGATGGTAGGCATAGATAAAAGCAGGAATTTTATTGTGTTGATATTAGATGAAGATCATAGCTTTTATGTCAACTTTGAATGTCTCATTTTGAAACTTAGCAATGGAAGAAGGAATTTTGAGATGAAACAGTTTTGTCAACCCACAAATTTCTCCGTTCTCGAAAATAGGTGTTTGTGTTTTTTAGAACGTTGACAAATAATATTATGTATTGATTGTCTCGATATAATTCTTTATATTTTTTGTTTTTTTTTTTTTTTT